CTTAACCAACTAAGCCACTCGGCCGGCCCTCCACATGTGGCTTTGAAGCCTTGGTTGGGCCCTGTCGTGAGTGGACACTGTTGCTGCCTGGGGGCAAAACCCTCTAAGAGCCTTTGGAGGGTTATGAAGTGAGGGGGAGCTGCCCCTCGGTGTGGCCTGCAGACTACAGGGGTCAAGGACCAATAGGAGCTGGCTGTGGCAGAGCCCAGAGAGGCCTGGGCTCGAGTAGAGCGCCCGTCACCCTCTTCTCCCCTGCTCCTTCCTCCAGGCGTGGGGGCTCAGGGGTGCTACTGAGGGACAGGGCTTTCCTTCCAACTGCTGCCCGTCCCCTGGTTGACAAGCACCTGCTCATCCCTTGGCTGTGAGCTCCAATGCCCCCGCCCCCGCCGAGACAGCAAAATCTGGATGCCATGTGTCCTTCGTGTGTGACTCGTCAGCTCGCTCACCTCCTGCTGCCATGGGTGCTTGCCTGGCAGGCTCCTCACCAGCCTGTAGCTCTGGTCGTGTCTGTCCACAGTCCCCAGCCTGGTGTGTCAGGGGCCAGGCCCTGGGCCTTGCTCAGTCCGAGTCCCAGGAACCCTTTGACAGATGAGCCCTGGCAGAGAAGCACATTGATGCCAGGTGCCACCAGCTCCTTCCTCCGCTGTGACCCTTCTGCGTCTAAGAAGCATGATGGCTGCCTTTTTAATATTTCAGAAAATTTTATCATGAAAAACGTCAGACATCAGTGAAGTTGCTAGGATAGCACAGCAGCCACCTGCATACCCTTCGTCTGCATTTACCAGTAGAAGCGAAGAAAATGAGCTGCTCTTTTTCTCAGAGGCCAGTGTCAAGGTAGCCCAGTGGCCCTCATGCAGCACATAGTAGGAAAGAAAGACGGAGAGGTGGCTACGGAAGCAGAAGTCACTCAGGCAGTGCCCACGGGGCGTTTGCTCCTGTCAACAAGGATTTCAGCCACTGGTGGGTGAACACAGCGCCGACTGGGCTAGATGTGCAGTGAGCCAGCTGTGAGGAAGCCCGTCACAGGCGCCTCCAGCTCTTAGGGTCCTTACCTGCTCACCTGGCTGCTCTGGGCTCGGGTGTCCTACCTGTTATATTGTTTCTCAGGTGCTGAGACACCTGAGAAAAGGTGCCATGTTAGCTCAGTGAAAAGATTGTCTGTAGCCATAGAGAGATCTTGAAAGCCTGCTGCGTGGCATGTTCACTCATAAGTTCTAGAAGGATCTGAGTGTCCAAGTGTGCGAGTCACAAGAATGGGTGCTGGATATTGGATATGCAGTGGTGGTGGAGCTGGGGCAGGGCAGCTAATAAAGTTCATAGAACAGAGATCATTTTGTGTGTGTGTGTGTGTGTGTGTGTGTAGGCAGGTGAGGATTAGAGCTGTGTGTGTGTGTGAGGATTAGAGCTGTGTGTGTGTGTGGTGGCGGAGGGGGGGGGGTGAGGATTAGAGCCAGGCGAGTCAGGCCAGACCCTTCTGTAGGCAGCGTAGGGATCTGGGGATCTTGGCAGTCTCAGGGTAGCAGGAGAGCCCCTTGTTTTGGGTGAAAGCATTCCTCTAGTTCCGTGTGGGGCAAGGTGGGGTGTACAGCATCCATTTTTAAATTTCTGTTATTTTAATTTATATACTTTCGATTTTTGCTTATAGTTCTATAATTTTTTTTTTATTAAACTTGATTTTTTAGAGCCATTTTAGGTTTACAGGGAAATTGAGCCGTGAGTACAGAGGTTTCCCATCTATCCCCTTCGCCTGCACACATTCTTCTCATTATTACGAATATCTTGTATTAAATGGTGCATTTGTTAGAATTGATGAACCAGTATCGATGCATTATTATTAACTAAAGTCCACGGTTTAATTAGGGTCCATCCTTGGAGTTGTACATTCCCTGTGCTTTGACAAATGCACAGTGTTCTGTATCCACCGTTACAGGATCTGTAAGGCAGTTTCACTGCCCTAGAAACCCCGTGCTCCCCTGCTTTATCCCTCTCTTCCCTAAGGCCTGGCAACTTCTAATCTGTACTGCCTCCATAGTTGCCTTTTCCAAAAGGTCATGGAGTTGGCATCATACAGCAGGTAGCCTTTTCAGAGCCACTCTTTTCCCTTACAATTCTGAGTTTTTACAAATGCATGGGGCTGTGTACCACCACGATCAAGATACAGCACGGTTCCGTCACCCTCAGCTTCCCTTGTGCTGCCCCACGCCCCACCCAGCTACCGCTCTGCTGCTCTCTAGTTCTACCTTTCCCAGAAAGTCACCTACACAGGATAATACCCTGTGTGGCCTTCTAAGGCCAACATCTCCCACCCTGCATTTTATACTTGCAGATCCATCCACGTGGCTATGTGGGTCCATTCAGGCCTTTTCCTGTGGAGTAGAGTCCCCAGTGTGGCTGTTATGTGGTCTGTTTATCCATCCACCAGAGAGGAACAAGGGCCATTACAGAGAATAAGCGACTTTGAATATTTACCTCTGGGCATATCGCCAGGGTGGGAGATGGTGCGAATGTGCCTAACTGTGTAAGGAACTGCTAAACTGCATTCCAGGGAGAGCTCCAGTCCGCACACTCGGTGTTATCAAATTGTTTGTTCTTTTGAACCATCCTAGTGGGTGTGAGGTGATATCTCATAGTGGTTTTGGTTTGCATCTCCCTGATGACTAGTGACATTGTGCTCATCTTTCTTGCTTCTTCCCTGATGACTGATCTTGTGTTTATTTACCATCTAATACATTGTCTCTGGTGAGGTGTCTGTTCAAATCTTGTACCCGTTTCCTTATTTTTGAGTTTAGCGAATTCTTTATATATTCTCAACATGAGTCTTGTCACATATGCGATTTGCAAATATTTCTCCCAGCCTGGGACTTGTCATGCTCTTTACTGGTGTCTTTCACAGGGCAGAAGTGTTTAGCTTTGATGAAGTCCAATTTGGCATCTTTTTCTTTTATGGATTGTGCTTGTAGTGTTGTATCTAAGGTCCCTTTGCCTAATCCAAGGTCACAAAGATGTTCTCCTGTTTCATTCCAAACGTTTTATGCCTTGATGTTTAAATCCATCATCTACTCGGGATTAATTTTTGCATATGATGGGAAGTTCATACCAAGATCCATTTATTTGTTTGGCCTACGGATGTGCAGTTATCCCAGCTCATCTGCCGAAAGGACCATCCTTTCTCCATTAGCAGCTTTTGCATCACCTGAGGTCAATTGATTATATTGTGTAGGTCTATTTCCGGACTTTCAATTGTGTTCCATTGATTAATGTATTTGTTCTTTCACCAGTAGACATCAGTTTTGAAGAACAAAGCAAAAAGCCTGTAAAGGTGAAACAGATGGGAGAATATTAGTATGGCGCCCTGATTTAAGACCAAAAAACACTGAGTATTTAACCAACTTCCTGTCCATGCTTCTCATGCAAACCTTCTTCAATGAACTGTGAATCTCCTTTTGTTGTAAAACTGTAGAATGAGATAAAGCAGTAAATGAATTGAGAAAAGCTCTAAAATGAAACCTTATTACATTGGTCACAGCCCAGCAGCGTGCTTATTAGATTTATCAAATAACTTAGCAGAGAAGAAAATAAATCTCTCAGAAAGGAAAGCCAGGCTCCCATACACACACATACAGGAATTGCTCCGTTGCCTGTTTTATCCAAGTGACACTCAGCGCGGGGGTTCAGATAGAACCCTCTGTGTTGTTACTTTCCATCAGATCAAGCTGTGAGTCTTCTATTGATAGTACCTCTGAAACCCCTGTGCCTGGGGATGCCCTGGCCTGGCCTGTCAGCAGTCTCGCCTGCCTTGCAGCTTCAGGGCTGGTGTGAGAGTGGGGAGTTCCAACCCCGATCCGAGACCAAGGCCAAGGCCTGAGAGGCCTTCTCCCTGTGAGCTTGAATGTGACTTTGTTTACCTCGTGCAGACTTCAGGCTCGGGCTGCCCCTAGAACTCCCATTGGAGAGAAAAGGGAAGGGACCGTGATCTCAGAATGGTTATCTAGTTGTAAAAATGGGACTGCTCAATTTTACTTAAAAAAAAAAAAGGAAGTCACAAAATAGCAGTTTAACGGAAAATGTGATTATCACAAACACAGGTGCCACATGACACAGCTCCACCTGCTCTTGAAGTCCTGCCTGCTGCCGTTTTGTTTTGTTTGGGGCAGATGCAGCAAAAAGTGATGCTGGGCAGAAACGTGCACTTGTCCCCAGAGACCTTTTTGGATCAGGTTCTGGAAGAATCCACTTGGTACTTAATTGCTGCTCTTTTCAAATGCTCCCAGCTCCCTCCCCTGTATTCCTGCTCCAGCATCACTCACTCTCATACCTCCACAGCTGCAGCCTGAACCTCCCCTGGGTTCAGGTGGCTCAGACAAGTGTTTGGTCCCAGTGGAGCGTGGTGCTTGTTCATGCAGACCCTCACCCTCTCCAAATTGGCCCTCCTGACAGAAGGAGGAGGAGCTGACTCCTTGGGGTCTTCCTGGGGTCACAGCTGGAAGTTGGTCAGTTGAAAAAGCTAGTTAAAACATAGAGTCATAAACACAATATTCAAGGACCTTGGACCTTTCCTAAAACATAAACCTATATTTTGTTCACCAACCACTGGGTGGCCGGCCAATGTCTTTTCTTTGCTGAGAGCCCATCCTCAGAGTTCTGGGTGGTTTCTATCTCAGGAGCCTTAGGCAAGATGCATCGTTTGCAATTTCCCGTTTTCAAGTGGAATGGGCATAGGGGCACAGCAGTGGGACTGCAGAGTGCTTCCTGGTCACCCTCAGGCTTTCATAGTTATCTGTCCCACACTTAACTTGACTGCCATTTTTTAAAACAACTTACCTTTAGTAGGTATTTCCAAAGCATCCCAAATGTATGGGTTTTTTGTTTTTGTTTTTTTTGTTTGTTTTAATTTATTGGGGTGACAATGGTTAGTAAAGTTACATAGGTTTCAGGTATACAATTCTGTAATACATCATCTATATATCGCATTGTGTGTTCACCACCCAGAGTCAGTTTTCCTTCCATCACCGTATTATTTGATCCCTTTTACCCTCATCCACCACACCCATCACTCCTTATCCTCTGGTAACCGTTAAATTATTATCTGTGTCTATGAGTTTTTGTTTCTTCATTTGTTTGTCTTGTTCCTTTCTTATTTTCAATTTTATATACCACATATCAGTGACATCATATGATTCTCGACTTTTTCTGTCTGATTTATTTCGCTTGAGATTATTATGCCAAATGTGTTTTCTAGAAGGAGCTATTTTTGTGGCTTTTGTATTCCTTTATAGTGTTTCCTTAATTCTAACATCATATAAATTACTGCCACAGCAGTGTTCAGACAGTGTCACCAACAGCTGTGACAGACAGACTTGGTGCAGCCCTTGCTGACTCTGGGCCTGCCTACAGGTCACTTGGGGGAGCACAAGCACATGATGCCCCATGCCCGCTGGCTGGGCGCCTCATGTCCCCAGGTCTCGATAGTGTGGTTTATAGGGGACGTCGCCGACGTGGAGATGCTGTCTGTCGCCTAGAGCTAGAGAGCTCGTGTACAGATGGGTTGAGACCTGCTCTTGAGGGACCCCAAGGAGGACGAGAGAAGGGCATGCCATCTGACATTGGCTGCATTGTCATGGGCTTTCCAGGGGATGGGGGCAGCAGCTCATGCAGCACCAGCCATCAGGCAGGTGGGCAGAACAGGGCACGTTTCCTGTAAACAGCAGGTGTCCCCTTTGCAGTGTGAGGTGTGATCGGGAAAGTAATGGGGTGTCCAGAGTCATGGGCTGAGCAGGAGCTCTGGAGACCAGGATGGGTACCCAGCCAGGGCCCTCGGCTGCTCTGAGCTCTTTGTGTATTGGACATGCTGGCCCGTCCACACTGCGCTGGGCGGGGAGTGACTATTCATGTAAAGGCCTCATCACTTCTTTAAAACTTTTTCCCAGGGCCACCACAGTACGTTACAAAGGGAGAAACCTGCGGATCAAAGCCCCCATGTGCCGAGCCCTGAAGAAGCTCTGTGACCCAGACGGTATGTAGGAGGTGGGCTGGGATGATGTCGGGAGGCCTTCTGTTCCGTTTATCGATAGACAGGTCCATCTAGAAATGTCTGCCTCTATGGCTCTGTGTCCGGGCCTGCCTAATCCCACGGGCAGCTCCTGGGTCCAAAGCTCACTGCAGTGTGTCCACTCAGTAAGTCAAGGTCAGCTCAGGAGCCACAGCAGCATTCAGACAAGGTTTCAGCAGTGTCAAGAGCGCATCTCGTGGCCTCGTGTGGCCTGGTCGTGGCTCTGGCTCTGCAGGTGCTGGTGCTCTTTTAGGCACAGGTCTTCGCAGGCTTCTCCGCCAGCTCTGCTTTCTCTCTGGGGCCATTAGCCCACAGCTTCTCCCTGATTGAGTTGTCCAGCCGAGCACTTTGCCTTCTGCATGATAGTCTCTCTGCCGGGCTCTCACGGTTCCTTCCTATCACAGGCGTGAGTGACGAAGAGGACCAGAAGCCAGTGCGCCTGCCCCTGAGAGTCCCCGTGGAGCTCCAGCCACGGAACAACCACGCCTGGGCTCGCGTGCAGAGCCTTGCCCAGAACCCCAGGCTCAGGTAACTGCCTTTGGCATTTGGGGGGAAGCCAGCTGTGGGGGTCGGGGCCAGAGGGCAGTGTTTAGGTCTCCCCAAAGGGCCCTAGATGAGAAGGTTTCACCCAGTGCTGCAAAATTACGTTGGGGTAAGGTGTGGGGTGGTAAAATGTCGTTGGGGCCCTCAGATTTTGGGGGCCTGGAGGCACTGAGCTGCACGTCCACACCTGGCACGGGTCTCAGGGCGAGAGTGGGATGTAGAGGGACATCGTGGCTGGCAGGTTGATGGCTGCAGAGTCTTTCCCTCGTCTTTCCCCCCAAGCCCCTTTCCATTCCTCTCTTACCATCTCCATCAGATTCGAGTCTGATTTATGGGCGGGGTACCACTGTGGGTATGGTCCATTTTCCAATTATACACCTTTTTTTAGATTGAGGTAAAAGTCACAGAACATGCATTCAGCCACGAGCCATTTTAAGTTGTCCAGCTCAGGTCACTGAGTACCTTCACAGCGTTGTCCAGCCACCACCTCTATCTAGTTCCAGAACATTCTCATCACCCCAAAAGGAAACCTCGAACCCACAGTCACTCCCCATCTCCCTCCCCTGGTCCTTGGCCCCCGGCAACCATGAATTTACCTTCTTTGTCTATGATTTGCCTGTTCTGGACATTATACATAAGTAGAACCACGCACTGTGTGGTCCTTTCTGCCTGACCTCTCACTCAGCATCATGTTTTCGAGATTCACCCGTATTGTAATGTGTCAGTGATTCATTCCTCCCATATTTGTTTTTATTTTCTTGGGATTCATTGAGGCTGGCCAGCGTCCCCTTCTTGAGGCTCTTAATAGACTAGAATGGTGGGTTGTGCCAAGGTCCATGTCCTGGGTGAGATCTTCCACCATAAAGGGTACACAGGTCTCTGTTTTGTCTCGCAGTTTCATGTGAGTCACCAGTTATCTCAATTGAAAAGGTTAATTTTTAAGAAAAGGACTCAGTGGCCCCGCTGGGACATTGTGGCTCTGGCCCCTCCTTGGTGCCCTTCCCGGGCACCTTTAGCCTTCACGGCATTGCCTTGCTGCCGGCAGCCTCCGGGGCTCTTCAGAAGGTTCCATCCCGTGTAACGGCTTCCCATTTTCTGTCTGTTTCCTGTAGAATGATCGTGGAGCTCCATCGGAAGGTCTCCAGCCTCATCGAGTTCTTGAAACAGAAGTGGGCACTCCATGAAGTGCGAATCGTATCTTTCCTACTTAAGCAACACCCCCCCCCTCCAATTTTGCAGCACCTGCTGCCAGAGAATGGGGTCCCACATCCCACTCCTGTGGTTGCACGGGGGCCCCGTGGGTGTAGTAGCTGTGCTGTGGGATGGTGTAGAACCTGAACTAAAACCTGCTTCCCTTCATCTCTATGTTTTGGGTGTGAGCCCCTTTCTGACCTTACAGTGTTAAAACTGTCACAGCAGCCCTCCATGTGGGGAGTGGCCACCATCTGTCCCGTGGGGTGTGGCCCAAGCATCCCTGCCAGCAGGTTTGAACGAAATGACCAAGGACAGACCCAGTTCTTGTTGGCCGGCTCCCAGCCCTGCCCAGTCCTCAGCCAGAAGGGAGCGTGTGGGGCGGGAAGTTCCCAGAGAAGGAACTACCTGCTTCATGCTTTCCCCACGGCCCCATGGTGCCCAGGGGCGGGCACTGCTGCCCATGGTTCCTTGACAGTGCACTCAGCGAAAGACACTTGCGGAGCGGCAGCTGCAGGACTCGTTTGTGGAGCCGTCACAGGAGAAGATGGCGCTGCACCTGTTTCCGGGAGAGAACTGCACACTGACCCCGCTTCCAGGCGTGGCCCGTGTGGTACACTCCAAGGCCTTCTGCACGGTGCATTGGCAGGAGGGCGGCCGGTGTAAACAGAGCGCCAAGGACACCCACACACTGCCTCCAGCCCAGATCCTGGGCATCCAGAGTGGGCAGGGCACGGCCAGGGGCCAGGTGAAGTGCCCAAGGGGCGGCTCCGAGGGCAAGGCTGGGGGGCGGCCCCCTCCCTCCACCGATGCTTCGCAGAGCTCCGGAGAGAGTTCCCCTGAAAGTGCCCCTGGGGAGGGGGCCGCCCCAAGCCTCAGCAGCCCAGACGCTCCCGACAGGCTCCCTCCCGGGCTCCAGGACACTGGGGGACAGCTTGAAAAGACCCCTACGGCCACTCCTGCAGAAGGTGGGGAAGGCCCTGCCCAAGAGCCCGGGGCCATGATGTGTGCCTGTGGCCAGCTCCCGGACCTGGAGGATGAGCTGTCACTCCTGGATCCCTTCCCCCGCTACATGAAGTCCTGTCAAGACCTCATCATCCCCGAGCCATGCCGCAGCGCAGACTCTCGTCCCCTGGCATGTGCCTCCCCTGAGATTCGTGCCCCCAGCAGCGCAGAGGCAGCCGACCTTACCCAGGCCAGGGCACCATCCCCCGTCCGCGGCCTGCCTGGCCCAGACCCTCAGCCCAGTCCAGGTCTCCAGCCAGATGTTTGCACTAAAGACTCAGCAGACGCTCCCGCAGAGGAGCCCCAGGAGAAGGTGAGCCCTTCGGACCCCCCGCCGCCTCAGGGACAGCCTGCCGCCAAGCCCCCGAAGGATGTTCCCACCAGCCGGCTAGCCCAGCAGCTCCGCGAGGAGGGCTGGAACCTGCAGACCTCCGAGAGCCTGACACTGGCCGAAGTCTACCTCATGATGGGCAAGCCAAGCAAGCTGCAGCTGGAGTACGATTGGCTGGCTGTGCTGGGCCCCGAGGGCCAGGCCCCCGGCAGCTCCCCGCCCGCTGCCTTCCACAAGCAGCGCCTCCTCAGCTGCCTCCTGAAGCTCATCTCCACAGAAGTCAACCCTAGGCTGGTGAGTGAGGGTCGGGCTCGGCAAATAGGTCCAGCCCCAGGTCAGGAGGCAGGGACCCTGATGACCAGGAAGGCGAGGTTCTCACAGACTATGTGTAATTCTCTTGAGCAGGGCTATGAGGAGCGCTGGTCAGGGCTCTGGCTCCCTGCCAGGTGAGGCCCTGTCCTGTGGGGCTCACACTGGGCTCCAAAGAAACCATGCCTGTGGGCCTTGCTGGGCTCCAGTGATTCTGTTGACCCTGAGCGTGCCGGCCAATGGCACACTGTGCACAGGCTCGGTGGCAGGCTCGGCCAGGAGCTGAGCAGCTCAG